TTTTTTTTTTTTTTCCTTGCAACATGAGCGGGTGCGCTAGGCAAACAGGAGAGAATTTGTCCCGACGTAAAGTAGTGAGGGCAGGGGTTACAGCCGTGGTAACGGTTGTTTGATTTTTTGCGGTGCGCTGCCTGTCGTGCTTGTTTTTTTTTTCTTGCAACATCGAAGCGGGTGCGCCAGGCAAACAGGAGAGAATTTGTCCCGACGACAGTACACAAATAAGCAAATAAGTGAGGTGCAGAAGAAAATGAAGAACCAAAGAGCGCCCCAAGACAACAAAAAGAAAACTCAACTCTGCCCACGCCCATGCTGGAACTTCACTCAACAGTACAGTAATAGTGTCGATCCATTTCGTTCTTTGTTGGCCCCGTAAGCGTGGGCGCTACACCATAAATCGAACACAACCTCATTAGTGCCGGTACCGGCACTACCGGCACTAATGAGGGATTGGCCAGCCCTCCAGAGTGCCGTTTTGGCACTATTCGCAATAGTGCCGGGTGCCCGATTTAGTGCCGGTGAACGCTCTGTGCACGTACCGGCACTAAAAGGGTCCCTCGACTGTACCGCGAAGCACACCGAGAGAAGAACCAATGCTGCGGTACGTCCGTAAAACATATCATGACGGCCACATTTTCTGAACAGACCATGCAGTATTTCGTCATCTCGAGACAACCACAACAGTTCAAGCTTCTTTGACAGGGTGCAAGGGGGCCACTGGGACAGGAACCCTTCTGTGTGACCACGGGTTGGAGTAAACGGCACAAATGCTGCGAGCTGAGTTGCGCTTGGTAGCTATGTACATACAACAGCTGGAGATTGAATGCATATTGTTGCAGGCCGGTGGTATGATTTAGATGTACAACAGTCCCTGGAAGCTCGCGAAATTATATAATGTCTAAGATTATTGCAGCAAAAACGGACACGTGACTTGCCTTGACCTTCCCAATGGCTACTGAGTGCACCATCGTGCCCCGATAGACACAAGCGGACATGGCTAGAAAGGTAAGGTGGCGCTGTCTCTCCTCTCTCCTCTCCAGCAATGGCAACACACCGCCCGCCTTCCACCGCCGCCTGCCAAGGTAGTTCACGATCGAGAAGTTCTCGCCGAAAAGGGTTGCTGACTCCTTTGCTCCTACAACACCAACCAAAGCTCGGCGTCCAAACCTCTGTGGCCTGTATGTAAGTCCCAACCGCCTGCCAGCCGACAAGAGAAAGGTCGAATCGTCGGGCAAACCAAAAAATAGAGAGAGAACCAAAAACTCTTTTGAACAAAAAAACAAATTCGTGACAGTTTGGCAACACGTACGTACTTCTCCCTTCTTCCCCTCGCTCCTCGACAAGCTTTTGCTTAGACATGGGTTGTAGTGAAGGGGGGGGTCTTTCTGGCGAGCAGGGCTAGACTCACCCTCAAGGGATGACCGAAACCTTCTTGCTGCTGCGCATATCCGCCGCGAGGCATGCGCGTGGTGGTGTAGTTGGGTCGGCACTGATGGGGTCAGGCGAAAAAATGTAGATGCGCGGGCCTCTGGCCGTCGGCGTAGGCAGCGATGCCCATCTCATTTTTTGTGCGCGGAGGCAGACACCGTCAGAAGGTGGACGGGAACTATGTACACGGCCCTAGGTTGGCTAGAGGGCGCTGCATTGCCTCAGTAACCTGGCTTCGCCATCAAAGGAGGAGGGAGCAGGTGGCGACGAGCTGAACTGGGCTGGTTGACCCCTTCGGCGCGAGAATTTTTATTTTTCAGACCAAGAACCTTGAGTGCAACGAGGGAGAAAGCGAGGAACCGACTGGGAAGGACAGCAACGAGAGCGTGTACGGACGGAGCAGGTCGAGTGGCGTTATGCTCGGGCTGACTACAGCGGCGCCGGACGGAGCAGCGGCACCGGAGCATGCGGGCGACATCGACCCGTGGCGCACGGACAAACATTTATATCTGATCTGTGTTGTCAATTTTTCTCGTTTTTTTCCTGATTTTCGGTGTTGGTTCTATGTGATGACGTCGTCACTGGTTTTGTAGAGAGACCCGTCAGAGATGGCGTGGCTAACCCGGGTGCCTTGGTTATGTGCCTGATCGTGGAAGACCCCTTCAATGTGGAACGATTCTTAGCTATTGTGTCGATATTTTCACTGCGTCCCTAACACAGACGATCGGGAGAGGTTCGTGATTGTCCATTGCAATCATGGCTTT